TTTCGGGTTATAGCCCACATCCTGAGCTCTTGATCGTTATTTCATAAAAAGCAATGATTATTAGTTGTTAATCTTCTAGCGCGATATGATGCTTACTTCCTTGTCAAGCTGTTTGAAATAGTGGTTTTAATTTCATGAAGACCCTGCGGCATTAGCACAAGATGTAGTCACCACTCTTTATCGAGGTGTGCTGTAACTTGCAGTCATTGTTGACAAAGATACTTCACAGAGTATCCAACTAATACTAACGAAAAAAGTAAAAAAGTTGTTTTTACAACACTTGGAATGCTCCGGAGACATGAAGAGAGCGCTGAAGAGAGGTTGTGCAAGGAGACCCACGCCCAAATCTGTACAAGCAAGACAACCGAGCAAAAGTTTCGATGGCGGAGGAAGGCACGACACCTTGCGGAGAGTAACGATGATCAGAAAATTTCCTATAATTGCAGCTATGGATAGAGGAAGATTAATGGCTGAAATAAATATCCTCTGAGCTGCTCCTAGACCTGAGGTGCAAAATATCTCTGGACCTGTTGTCACATTATTTCTATCCTCATTTTAATGCGCCATAATTTCATCCAGGCTTTTTCTTTATTCGATATCCAAGTAACGATGTTGGGGTTGATTCAGTTGCCGCTTTCAGGTGTATCCGTCTCTTCTGAGACAAAAAAGGTTATTTCTTAATCCATCAGATTATATTATGAAGTAACGACATAATATGATGGTAAATATTCGAAAATATTGGTAATCTGCTTTCTATAGTACAATGCTTTTAGTGAGGCCTTAAATCACTGTAAAAGTCATTTTAAAAGAAATTTTAAGAATGAATTAGACACAAGTCTTTCAGCTTTTGCTGATCTGCATATCAACAGAAATGATGATGATGTGGATCGGAGAGAGCTCGGAGACCTATCTAGAAACTGTTTTACCACTGATTTCAAAATGCTGCAGAAGAACAACACGAAACGAATTCATTAGGTTATTGGGTGGGGATATGATATGCGATGGGTAGAAAATGTTATGTTTTGATCAATTTCAGCATAACATATGTGAGCTGGGTTGAGGTTTGTAGATGCCGGACTGCCGGGAAATGTATGAAAATGAATGCCGCACTGGCGGAGCCATTATTTTGCTCAGTGGATCATTTGTTTCGTTGTGCGCTCTTTGCCTTTGCCTTTGNTAAGAAATGTCTTGGTGAGAGTAACTTTATTCCTGACAAATTTGAATCACACAGGTGAGCTGTTAACAAGAACTCTTACTGTACATTTGTTACCCGTCAGACACTCGTAGCCCAGGGACTGGTCATTAGTTATCGCCCAGGGGGAGGGGGACGGGTAGCTGGAAGATTTTGGTTGTATCACAATAAGATTTACCTGATCACCTCGTAAGATTCTGCAATATTCCTATTATGCCCCTCCCCAGTCATCAGAAATCAATTGACTGTAAAATTTTCTATATCCCCCTCCGCCCCTTAATATTCTGTCGGTGACTACTCATTCTTCCCCTGTTCCCCGAAACCATGGACCCCCCCCCCCCACAATTCCCCGCCCTCTTCCCTGGATGGTAAATTATGCCTCATCTCTTACAAACAAACAAACAAACCACTGCCTTACTCACAACAAAATGATTGATGCTGCTTCCAACTTCCAATTTAAGAAGAAAATAAATTTGTTTTGTTTAAAATGGATTTTGATTTCTGGGGTCACGTGAGGTTGACGACGATCCTTATGTTGTAGAACTGACAATATACATGTACTCGTGTTGTGTCCTTGCTATTCGGAATTACAAAATTGACTCTTTAACCTCTAAGGGTGACTAGCATTCAATTTCTCCTCACAATTTCACAGCTGAATCACACATTAAGGTCACGAGAATAAAGGATGTAATCACTATCTAGAAAAGTCTTGATTGTTGACCAAATTCTCCTTGTCAGCTCGTTAGGAAATGTATGGAGAACAGTTAAGAGAATATGCATACTGATCATGATGTGAGGGTGTAAAGGGTGAACAGGGCTTCGTTCATCAGTTGTAGGTACAATATTCCGCATCAGCAATTTTTATGCATTAACCATCTCGCGTGAAAGAAAATTTCAAAAAACACAGGTAGAAATCTATGAAAGGAAATCTAAAGTAGGGAAAAGGAAAACTCGAGACTCTTCGAACATAGAGCTAATGAATTACGAGTATCCTGTTGAATTTTTTTTCTTAACCTTTAAAACGCTTTCACTTTTTGGTTCTCTGTAACTCGGAAGATGTAAAAGAGCCGTGCGAGTGTGGAGTGGGACGACCTTTTTTCGGACCGGCTCACGTCAGCTCTCGTTATGGTTTTCTTTAGGATTGTCTGGGGAAGGGGGGGGGTGCATATGGATCATATAACTATGAATATTATGTCGGAAATTTGTCTTCTGCTTTGCTGTTACAACACATAATAACACGTGTTTCAATTCGTTGTGGCTTTGGTGGAGTCAATAACCGGTGCATCGCAACATTTGAACAGGCACACCAGGGTGGAGATGTATTAATTCATCTTGTGAT